CATCATCTCAACGGATGGATCCCCACTGAAACCTTGTTGGACAAAACGCACGGATTTGAAGGCCTTGGGATCGATGGTTGAAGCGAAGGACGTGGAGGAGAGGGATGAGGAGGAGAAGGTGGGCCGCCTTCGGGGCGAACCGCGCCGCCAGCGCCGCCGGACCCTGCCATCACGAATCGCAGCGTGGTTCGCGGTCTTCATGTTCATCTTATGTTTCTCTGGTTCCTCCTATGTAATGTTGGTCCTTGTGTTCGCCCACCGGGGCGTGGCATCCCCCATCACATCTCGACTTCGTCTTTGCATACGTCCCCCTTTCCCAAACAAATGCATTCCTCCAGGCTCATCCTTCTGAATTCCTTTTCAGGAGTTTCTTTTCAATGCGGGAAGAGTAAGGTTTACTTACTGTTGCGTCCTGACAGTCTTAAACCCTGCCAGAGCACCATGGCTCCTGGAACTTCGACCCCGCGGCGCTACGGCGAGAGCCACGTGTTGAAAAGGAGCCACCCGTCACCCTCGAAGCTGCTGCGAAGTTGACATACGAATGTGCGCGGCGCAGAGGCGAAAGCCACAATTCAAAAACCACCCGCCCTCCATCCTCTAAGCCGCTGCAAACTTTTAAGACGAATGTGCGAGGCGTACAGGCGAGAGCCACAGTTGGAAAACGCCCCCCTCCATCTTTGAAGCGGATGCAATTGCTTAAAACGAACGTGCGCGGCACTAGGGCTAGAACCACTTTGTGAAAACTGCCCGTCATCCATCCCCAAATTCTTGCGAATTCTAAACTTCAGGATCATACGCGCTGAGTTGGACCACGAAAAATTGAAAGCGACCCCCGCTGCATCCTTCAACGTGTTGCAAACTTATACAACGAATGCGCGTGGCGCTAAGGCGGGAACCACATTTTAAAAACGGCTCTGCCCCCCCCATCCGCGAAACGGCTGCAACCTTGTAAGACGAATGAGCGTGTCGCGCAGGCGAGAGGCACATGTTGAGAAGGAACCGCCCTCGACCCGTGAATCTGCTGCAATGTTGTAAGACGAACGCGCGCGGCTTTAAGGCGATAGACGAATTCTGAAGACCGTCCCCCACCCTATAACCGGGGAGCGATTGCAATTTGAGGGGCCCAATGCGTGCGACTGTAAGGCGAGCGCCACATTTTGAAAAGGAATCGCTCTGCATGTGCAAGCCGTGAATCTTTAACCACGAGTGAGCACGGCGTTCAGGCGAGAGCCACGTTGAGCGGTGCTCCGGCGAGAGCCACCTGTTGAAATCAACCACCCCTTCACCCTCGACACTGCTGCACACATTTTCCAGGCGAGCCGCATTGTGAGAACGACCACCCCTCCATATCGTGAAGCTGTCGCAAAGTTCAAGCTTCAGTGCCATACGTGGTGCTGGCGTCTCGGACGAAACGCCCAGACCGCCCTACAGACACGCTTGAGGTGCGGCAGGAAGACGGCAGCTCTCAAGGGACGGAGGACGAGGAGGAAGGAGAGGAGATGAGGGATCAGCAGGAAGAGGAGGAGGAGGAGGAGGAAGAGGAGGAGGAGGAGGGATCAATTTATTTTTCGTGCACACCTGCGTGTGCGTCCCTGCGCACTCTGGCACCGAGCGTCTAGCGCCCACGTGCGGCCACTCACGCGGCTGCCAGCGCACGAGGGCGAGGCGGCGGTGGCGAACTTTCGGCGGCGGCGACGGCGGCGGCCAGCGCCCTGCCGCGGAGGCCGGCGTGCTGCTCGGCCCAGCCGGCGGCGGAGCCCAAGCGCCCGCTGCGGCGGCGCCTGGCGTCGGGCCGGAGCCCGCCGCCGGGGAGCCTGCGGAGCCACCTTTGCGTCGTGTCGTCGTCGTCGTCGTCGTCGTCGTCGTCGTCGTCGTCGTCGTCGTCGGCGTCGGCGTCGGCGTCGGCGTCGGCGTCGGCGTCGGCGTCGGCGTCGGCATCGTCGTCGACGTCGGCCTTGGCGTCGGCGTCGTCGGCGACGACCTCGGCGTCGGCCTCGGCGTCGTCGTCGGTGTGGCGTCAGCCTGGGCGTCCTCGTCGTCCGCCTCCTCCTCATCCTCCTCCTCCCTCCTCACTCCTCATCCTCATCCCTCCCCGATCCTCCCTCCCCCTCCCCCTCCCCTCCTCTCCTCCTCCTCCTCCTCCTCCTCCTCCTCCTCCTCCTCCTCTCCTCCTCCTCCTCCTCCTCCTCCTCCTCATTCCCCCCCTCCTCCTCCCTCAACCTCCTCCCACCACCTGCTGCTCCCTCCCCCCTTCTCCTCCCTCCCTCCCTTTACTCCTCCTCCCTCGTCCGCTCCTCCCTCCTCCTCCTCCTCCTCCTCCTCCTCCTCCTCCTCCTCCTCCTCCTTCCTCCTCCTCCCTCCTCCTCATCCTCATCCTCATCCCTCCCCGATCCTCCATCCCCCTCCCCCTCCTCCTTCCTCCTCCTCCCTCCTCCTCCTCTCCTCCTCCTCGTCCTCCTCCTCCTCCCCCTCCTCCTCCTCATCCCTCCCCTCCTCATCCCTCAACCTCCTCCCACCTCCTGCTGCTCCCTCCCCCTTCTCCCTCCCTCCATTTACTCCTCCTCCTCCTCGTCCGCTCCTCCCTCCTCCTCCTCCTCCTCCTCCTCCTCCTCCTCCTCTTCCTCCTCCTCCTCCTCCTCCTCCTTCTCCTCCTCCTCCTCCTCCTCCTCCTCGTCCGCATTATCCTCCTCCTCATCAACCTCCTCCTCGTTCTCCTCCTCCTCCTACGCTTTGTTTTTGTTGATTGTGCGGTCTCAGGGGTCCTGCGAGCCCGATGGTTCTTAGTCCGTTTCTTATTCGTTACCCGTTCGGAACCAAGGCGATTCGGGCCGAAATCGTTGCTCCTCGTCCTCACTCGTCATGGTTTTTCTCCTCCTCATGACCGTCTCTCTCCTCATTATCCTCTCCTCCTCCTCCTCCTCCTCCTCCTCTTCCTCCTCCTCCTCCATTTCCTCCTCCTCCTCGTCCTCCCCTTCCCTGTTTCCCCTGATCATCCGCTCTCCCTCTCCTCCCTCATCCTCTCGCCTCCCTCCTCGATTGTCGTCCTCCTCCTCCTCCTCCTCCTCCTCCTCCTCCTCCTCCCTCCTCCTCCTTCTCATCCTCCCCCTCCTTCTCCTCCTCCTCCTCCTCCCTTTCCTCCTCCTCCGCTTTGTGTGTTGTTTGTTGCGTGGTCTCAGGGGTTCTGCGAGCCTGATGGCTCGTCGTTCATTTCTGATTCGCCTCCCGCTCGGTACCAAGGCGATTCGGGCCGGAATTGCTGTTTCCCGTCCTCTCTCGTCATGGTTATGCTCCTCCTCATCACCGTCATCCTCATCACCCCTCCTTCCTTCTCATCTTCCTGCTCCTCCTCCTCCTCCTCCTCCTCCTCCTCCTACTGCTCCTCCTCCTCCTCCTTCTCCTCCTCCTCCGTCTCCTGCTGCTCCTCCTCCTCCTCCTCCTCCTCCTCCTCCTCCTCCTCCTCCTCCTCCTCCCCCTCTCCCCTCTGGTCCTGATCAACCTGCTTATTCGTCCGCCTCCTCGTCCTCCTCCTCCTCACCCTTGTCATTCTCCTCCTCATCCTCCTCCTCTTCCTCCTCCGCCTTCTCCTCCTCTTCCTCATCCCCCTCCTCATCGTCTTCCTCCTTTTCAGAAGGTACGAGGGTGTCTCAGAAGACCGCCCCGCCCGCCCTAACCTCTTGCGCACGTTAGCAACGCTCATTGTGTGTGCGGGCTGCACACGGTCCGCATTGAACGTGGCACGTAAAGCGATATGTCGTTCGTGATGTGTACGTTCGCGCTTAGTGTAAGGTGGCGAAGTATTGGTCAAACACGCGCTCGCACGCACGTACATACACACAGAAGCGCACACACAGTCCTGTTCTCTCTCTCTCTCTCTCTCGTTCTATCTCCCCCTGCGTGCATTGCACAATGGATGGTATTCCCTGCCTACCGTTCGTTCTGCGCGTGGGTGTCGCGTCGTTCTTGCAAGTTCTCCACTACGTGATATGCGTAGCAATCATCTCCTGGATCGCGCATCGTGCGCTTCCTGCTGCACTCACACTGAAGGTACACATGCGCTCGCGCACGCGCGCGACTAAGGAAAATCCTCCCTTGCCAGCCCGGCTTCGCCCATCCTCCTTCCCCTACTCCTCCCCATCCACTTCCCCCGCCCCGTGTTTCTCCCGCTCGCGCGGGACGACGACGACGACGGCGACGGCGACGGCAGCGGTAACGACGGCGACGAGAGCGGCAGCGGCAACGACGGTGGCGGCGAGGAGGAGGAGGAGGAGGAAAAAGTCGGAGAAGGAGGGGGAGAATGAGAAGGAGGAGGAGGAGCAGGAGGAGGGGGAGGATGAAGCGGAGGAGGAGGAGGAGGAGGAGAGGGAGGAGGAGGAGGAGGAGGAGGAGGAGGAGGGGGAAGGAGGAGAAGGGGCATAATGAGAAGGAGGAGGAGGAGGAGGAGGAGGAGCAGCAGGAGGAGGAGGAGGGGGAGGATGAAACGGAGGAGCAGAAGAAAGAGGAGGAGGAGGGGGAGGAGGAGAAGGAGAAGCGGAAGGATGAGGATGAGGAGGGAGGAGGAAGGAGGAGAAGGAGGGGGAGGATGAAACAGAGGAGGAGAGGAGGGGGGAGAAGGAGGAGAGGGGAGGATGAGAAGGAGCATGAGGAGAAGCAGGAGGTGGAGGAGCAGGAGGAGGAGGAGAATGAAACGGAGGATGAGGAGCAGGAAGAGGAGGAGGTGAGGATGAGAAGGAGGAGTAGGAGGAGGAGGAGGAGGATAAGCAGGAGGAGGAGGAGGAGGACGGAGGATGAAACGGAGGAGGAGGAGGAGGAGGAGGACGAGGAGGAGGAGGACGAGGAGGAGGAGGACGAGGAGGAGGAGGAGGACGAGGAGGAGGAGGAGGAGGAGGAGAGAGGAGGAAGAGAATGAGGAGGAGGAGGAGGCGAACGCCGCGAGCATCGATGACTAGAGTCTGGCCAACGTCAGCAAGCAGGAGGAGGAGGAGGAGGAGGAGCCTCTGGACAGCCGGGCTCGAGGCGAGGTCCGCGCCTCTGGGCCGCGGGGGGATGCCATGGCGGGCGGTCGGCTGCTAGCGGGGGCCTTGTGGCGGCCGAGGGGACGGTGCAAGCTGTCGGCCAGCCCCGAAGGGGAGGGCCAGACAGAGGAGGGGGGGGTGAGGGAGGGAGGGAGGAGGAGGGGAGGGATGTAGGGAGGAAGGAGGGATGGATGTGGGGAGGGAGGAGAGGAGAGAGGGAGAAGGGTCGGAGGAGAGGAAGGAGGGAGGAGGGAGGAGGGGAAGGGAAGAGGGAGGGACGGAGGAGAGGAGGAGGAGGAGAGGGGGGGGGACGGAGTGAGGGAGGGAGGGGGGGCTGAAGAAAGGGGGAACCAGGGAGGAGAAGGAGGAGGAAGAGGAGGAGGGAGGGAAGGAGGAGTAGGAGGGAGAGGAGGAGGAGGAGGAGGAGGAGGAGGAGAATCAGGAGGAAGAGGATGAGGAGGAATGGGGGGTAGGATAAGGAGGAGGGAGTTGGTGGGGCAATGAGTTAGCCATGTGTGGGGTAAACGCAGAGCCCCCCCCCGCTGAGTTCCTCTGGCATTGACGGGGGATAAGCCCTAGACGACCCCGTGCTGAGCTTGTTCACTGGAAGTCATGCTCCTGCGAAGCAGACAATGGGCGTCCCGACGCGAGGTGGTGAACAGGCACCCCCGTTATTACACAGGCGTTATGTTTCGACAAAGTCCCCTCCGTGGCATGCAAGTACGCTTCGCCCCATCGTCGTCGACGTATCGGAAAGTCCATTCGCCATGGGCACATGCTGATTCTGCAAGCGCCTACAGCAAGAAAGCGAAACAGCCTAATCCACCAGCTGGATCGAAATGCCCGAGTTCTGTGATGGGGTGTTTATAAGGGCGCGACGAAACAAGATAGTATCCGCACGCTTGCTTACAGCCCAGGACAGATGACGGGCACATCGAACATCCCATCCATGAGGCCACAGGCCTGGAAGAACGCCCCAGCAGCGGGGGGGGCGGGATCTGCCCACAGGGGGCAGCTCGAATCTCAAATTTGCAACTTGGAGCGGACTTTGCGCACGATGAGAAGGGCAGCCGCTCCCAGCCTCCCAAACATGCATGCGCACGAGAGAAGCAACGATGCCGAACCGTGTCCTCCAAGGTTGCACATGCACCTGCCAGGCACGATGCGAGACAGCGACATAAGAAATGATAGTTCGTACACTTCGGCGCCACTCCAGAAGGTTCTTGCTCGACGCATATGCTCGGTTTGGAGACGGGAAACGCTGAGGCCAGAGAAAGCGAGCCCCGCGGACGCCTCTCCCAGAAGCTTTGAGGTCCCCCGGGCGCCACGCGGAGCCAGGAGGCGAGGCCAAGCGAGCCAGCGACCCAAAGCATTGCGGATGCTCGAGCCACCCGTGCTTGGGATGGAGGAGGAGGAGGAGGAGGAGGAGGAGGAGGAGGAGGAGGGGAGGAGGAGGGGAGGAGGGAGGAGGGAGGAGGAGGAGGAGGAGGGAGGAGGAGGAGGAGAGGAGGCGGAGGAGGAGGAGGAGAGGAGGGGGGAGGAGGGGGGGAGGAGGAAAAAAGAACGAGGAGGAGGGGAGCGGTGCCTTCTCAGAGCAGGGCGGTCGCTTGAGACCTCCCCGGCACTGGAGCACCCAACACTTTCACATGGGCAGCAGTTGCACGTATGGGGCGCGGCTCTCGTTCAAAAGGGGGCTATCGCTCGAGGCCTCGGCGTTCAGGACCCGACGTGGCGCCGAATGCCCCCCAGGAGACCTAAGAAACTGAAGCCGGGGCAAGGGCAACGGCATCGGTACGTTCGCCTCCTCCTCCCCCTCCTCCTCCTCCTCCTCCTCCTCCTTATTCCCCAACTCCTCCCTCATTGTGCCTAGCGCATCAGGTTGCCCCGCACGAGCGCGTGTGCCGCCACTTCGATCTCGCCCAGCGCATCTTGATACTACCTGTTGAAACAAGTTGCGGCCACAAGGCATGCGGCATGCACATACCATCCGCTGGGGCTCCGACCCCTCATCTGTTGACCCCTCAATCTGGGGCCCGCCCCGCGAATAGGTCATCTCATGCTTTGACCCTTCATCCTGGGTCTATATCCCGCCACGCGCTGACCTCGTCGGTGAGGCCTTGGCCTATCATGCGTCGATCCCTCCTGCCGAGGCGCGGGCTCATCATGCGTTGATCCCCGACGAGGGAATTAAGACCCTGCATACGTTGACCCCTTCATGTTTGGACTTGGACCCAACACGCGTTGACCCCTTCATATTGGGGTTGCGTCCCCACATGCGTAGATATAGGGGCCAGCCACCCCCAACGGCTGCGCAATCCGACGGTATCTTGGGTGGGGGACGGCATCCCAGAGAGCCGCCCAAGCGGCGGGCAGCCCGACGTTTCCGACTCGGGCAGAGGTGGGCCGCCGCGGCGCCGCTCGAGGCGGCGGGACCTTGCGCAGTGTGCAACCCCGAGGAGCCCTCCGCCGCGCGCGACTGTTGTGCCAGGATCCTTCCCAGACCCTTCCTCGCCGCTAGAAATTACGACAGACGTGTTAGTGCATGTAGTGGTTTTCCCATGCCGCCACCGTAATTGGGTTCTGGGCCAGAGTCCTCATGCATGCTCCTTGGGGTCTCTTCGGAGGGCTCTCGGTGGCCTCTGATGGGCCGTTTTGACGCCTCTTGGGTGCCACTTGGGGGCCTCTTGGGGGTCTCCTGGGGGCTCCGTGGGGGCCTCTTGGGGCCTCTTGGGGGCTTCTTGGGCTTCCTGGGGGCCCCTTGGGGCGGAGAGCTCGCAATGGCGGTTCGTGTTCCCCCTTGGGCTCTTTCTTGTGGAATTCTTGGAGCCCTCTTGAGCCGTCTTGAGGGCCTCTTGGGCTGGCTCGGGGGCCTCTTGGGCCGTCTCGGCACCCTCTTGGGGGCGTTTGGGGCCGTCTTGGGGCGAGCTTGGGAGCCCGTGGGGCCGTCCTTGGAGCGTCGGGAACCCGAAAAGGCGGAAACACCGAAATACTTCAAACACATGTTTGGGAAATCCCTGATGCTCGCCTCTTAGGGCCCTCTTGGGAGTGCGCATGGAGGCCTCTTGAGCCGTCTTGGAGGCCTCTTGGGCCATCTGGAGGCCATCTTGGGCATATTGGAGCGATCTTTCGGCGAATCGGAGCCCCATTGGACACACGGGAGGGTTCGAGAGGTCGTTTTGGGCGGGCACAGCGTCCAGAGGATCAGCAGGAAACACTCCCGAACTCACGGGAGAAACCCTGGAAAACTTTTGAATGCCCCAGGACGGCACAGGATTCAGGAGCTCCTGGCGAAGCTACAATCTTGGCTGCAGCATTCTAAAGGAGGCTGGGGCAAAGATGAGAGATAGCGAGCGTGTGTCCGCGGTCGTTTGTGCCCAAGCGGCCGGCCGCCAAGATATGACTGCGCTTCATCGCGAGGCACACCACTTACCATTGAGACCGAAAACAGATTCGCTTGACATGACCCGTTGCTCCCGCGACGATGTCTTACTCCTGGGATTATTGTTAATACGGTACAACAGAGTTGGATATGGGGCTTCGCCTTAGGCGAAGCATATGGCTGGGCCTCCCAACCCCATTCAAACTGCAGCAACATCACGGCTCTCAGCCGTTGGGCACTCCAAGACGCGCCAGAGGCACGGTGGTGGTCATGTTCCAGTACTTACATATACATAGTTATGTATGTCTAAATGTATAAATGCAAAGATGGTTTGTGTCAAACGCAGACATATGAATATACGTACAGATGCACGCAAATACATGTACGAATGCACCAGAACACATACTTCTTTTATACGTAAATGTATACCTGCATACCTACCTACCGACCGACCTACCTATCTATATACATGCATGCATGCATGCCCACATACATACATGCATACGTACATACCTGCATGTATGCATGCACACATATACATATATACATACGTACGCATGTGCATACGTACATGTATGCATGCATACAGACACACAACGTATAGCTATATGCGTGCATGCATGCATACATCCAGACATACATGCACACGTGCATGCATGCATACATACAGACACGTGTACGTATGTACGTACATATGTGCATGTGTACACACGTTCATCGGTACCTGCATACGTACATGCGCACCTGCACACGTACATACGTACGTATGCACCTACAGGCGAACAGCCTTATCTACATGCATACATGCATACATACGTCCATATATACATGCTTTATTACGTACATGTATGCATAGATGCTTACATTCATACATACATACACGCATACCTATAATAATATGCTATTCGATTGTATATAGATGCGCGCGTGTTCGGCATCTGGGGGCCCTCGCCTGGCCCCGGGACCGTCGAACAATTGTTCTGGATGGAAGCCAGTACCATGGAATGGGTCGAGACCATTTGGAGTCGTCGGCATGAAGAAGTCCTGACGTCGGGGGTCTTGGTGTGTTCAAGGCTTCTCCGGGGCTCGTTCAAAGGCGACGCGTCCCGCCCCCACCGCCCCCAACACGTATGCGTCCACGCGGTGCGAAGCGATGGTTGGCACGAGCATGCAGGTACGTTCAGTTTTCGAGGAGTCCCGCCGCGATGCTCCCGCGCATTCAGATTCGACCGCCTGTTTGCCAGGGTCGGCACGCAGATTTCAAAGCATGGGGTCGAGCCTCGAGATGTTCCGCCGCGATTCATCATCGTCAGAACCACCCCATCCCCGACTGGGACGGGGTGGCTTGGCTCTCCCAACATACCCCGTGTCTAGGCGGGGTTGGGGCACCGCGAAGCCCGATAGGGGACGCCACCCATCCCCACCTAGGTCGGCCAGCGGGGCCAAGGTTTCCCCGGTGGGGGTGGGGACTGGGGGGACGGTTGTGTGCGTCCAGGGCGATGCATTCCGCGTGTTCAGAACTCGACCGTCCCCTTGCCACGGAGAGCATTCGGGTCGTCAATTCCGAGTTCGAATATGAGGGTGTGCTTGTGTGCGTCGCGACCCAGTGCCGATGCCCGCGCCTAGCTCAATTCTACTGCGCAGTTGAATGGTGTTCAAGTGTCCACCCCGCCAGGGTCAGGACATTACATGTTTCCCTGTCGGTCGCCTTGCATCGATGGTCCACTTTGGCAATTTTCGCTTCATCAGAAGGCGAGCCGCAGGGTATCCAGGTGGTCTCCTTGTACGCGAGAGGGAGGGAATAATATAACAGCACGTGTCAAGAACTGTAGCATGGTAGGGTGGTGACTTCGAGATGTTGTCGTTCTGGAGCTGTGACGAAATGTGACCAGGTGCGCTCGCAGGCGGGCGAAGTAACGATGTAGAATATGCGTTGCATCACATGGCCAGTATTGTAAGAAGTTCGGGATTGCTTGGCAGCGTGTCACTGGAGCGGGAGCGAAAGGGGGTCGTAGGATGGTCTGGTGTGGATACGCATCGGAAGCAGGAGGGCGAGTGCGTCAGGCCTTTGTGGGCGCCGGAAACGGCAGGGCAGTTTTTTACCGTTTCGAAAAAAAGTGCCTCTTCAAAATGGAAACGGCAAAAAAACGGCGACCGAAAACGGCAATAAATCGGATCCAGCATTGGAACCGGAGCAAGAACCGGTCAAGAAACGGCGACGGAACCGGTAAAAAAACGGCGTCGGAACCGGCAAAAAAACGGCAAAACGGAACCGGTGAAAAAACTGCCTTGTTGTTTCTAGGGCCCACTAAGCGTCAGGCGGCCCGTGAAGGAATCGCCGGCATGGAGATCGCTATTCAGAGGCTTACATCATTCCGCCGACCCTCCCAGGAAGAGGGGAGAAGTCCACGGGCGAGGCCTCTCGAGGCCTCCTTTGGCCTCTCCGCTGGGGGCCTATCTCGGGTCTCTTGGGGGCTTCTTTTGGGCCTCCTGGGAGTTCCTTGGGCGCCTCCTGGCAGTCTCGGGGGTCCTCGTTGGACGGAGGGCTCGGAATGTCAGTTCGAGTTGCCTCTCTTGGGCCCTGCTTGGGGCACTGTTGGGGCCCCCTTGGGCCGTGCCGTCTTGGGGCTTCTTGGGGGCTTCTTGGGCCGTCCTCGAGCGATCTGGGTGGCCTCTTGAGCTGTCTTGGACGCTGTTAGGGGAAAATGCGAATATGCCAAACATCTGTAGGTTTCCCAAGAAGGGGGTGGGATGATTTTTGCTTCTTGAGGCCCTCTTGGGAGTCGTCTGGGAGCCCCCTTGGGGCGTCTTTGGACCTCTTGGACAGTCTTGAGGCCATCTTGGTCGTCTTTGAGGACTCCTCGGCGCGTCGAAGCCGCCAAGCTTGAGCCAGCTTAGATGGCATCCTGGGAATCTTAGAGGCCACGCTTTGTAGATTTGGAGGCTCTGGAGGCCTCGGGGGCGCGGTGTCGAGTTCTCGGTCCCCCCATCCCCCAAATGTGATTTGGGACCCCTGGCGAGGGGGAAAGAAAAGGAGGCGGGCAGCCAAGTGTCTCGCACGCCTGCCTGTTCGCCCCTGGCAGGCGGGGGTCGGCGGATTCCTTTTCTCCAGCGAACGACGGTGCGCGCCTCCGCTTGAGAGCCTTGCCGAAAGGAGCATGTGAACACCTTGGGCGGCACTAACTCCACCCGCGAGGAGTCCAACGGGAATGTGTTGCCCCTCGTGGTGCGGCACGCCTGACTTTGGGGAGACTTCGCGTGTCCCATGAGATTCGGCTCGTGCCCCTGTCTCTGGGCCTCCCAGATGGGATCCAAATAGATGAGGTCGGAGGATCGCGTCGCATCGCCGATGCAACGCCGATGCGGCTCGATGTGGGGCCCGATTTTTTCCACGCCGACGTCGCCAATGCATGGCCGACATCGCCGGTGCATCGCCCGTGCATCGCCAATGCATCGCCGATGCATCAGCGATGCGGCGCGATCCTCCGACCCCATCTGCCTGGACCCCATATATCAGGCCTCTATTGTCACGGACGGAGGAGCAGGAATGGAACAGAATGCTCCACGGGTAGCGCGTAGCACTTGATCCGTTACAGGCCGTCGCCAGCAGGAGAAGGAGCAGGGGGGGAGGCCACTTGCCGACTCTTCTCCAGTCGACTTGCGGGGATCGAGCTGCCAGATACGTCGAGGCAGATCCCTACAAATCTTGGTACATCCTAGTACGGCGAGGAGAATCCGGAGATGCCGAGGTACATCTGGAGAAATCGTGGAAGTTCCAGCGCGAGTCGAGGGACAGTGGAAGTTGTTGAGCCCTTCACCACGAAGAGGAGGGGGAGCTGGAGGCCCAGACCCCCGACGTGCTTTTCTCGTGACGTGGACCCCCAGAGGTCTGGAGCCCTTCCCAGGGACAGTCGGGGGCAACGATAGGGGGCGAGAGGCACAGGGAGGGGGGACGCATCGACCCCCAATCGCCCATTGATCGCCGATAGCAAGGGCGCCCTTGAGGGCGCGAAGTGAGTCGCGCTTTGCGCTTCGCGCTTCGGCTCCGAGTCCTCATCATCCCTCTCTTACCCCATGGGAGGCGTCGCGAGAGCGCGAAGTTAGGCGCCCTTGGATAGGGGACAAGCCCACCTTGCCAAGGAACGTGTGGGTTCGCTACCGGGGGCCCATCGACGATCTATCGGCGACGTACCGCCGATTCTATAGGTCGATGTTTCCCCCTTTATGCCAGTCACCTCCCCATCGTTGCTCCTCAGACGGGCGTCATCCTGAGGCGTTCTTGGACGGCCCTGGGGCCCTCTGAGGGCCGCCCCCGGAGGCCGAAGATACAGAAAGACCAGTCGCCACCATCTCCTCACAACGCGAAAGGTTCTGGGGAGGGAGGGGAGGGGCAGGAGTGGTGGCGCGCCGCGCGCGAGGTGCGACCGTGGGGCATGAACGCCTGGAGCCCGGCGACGTCCTGGAGCGCCTACCAGGACGTTGGGCCCACGGGGCGTGGCCTCGAGCGGGGGGGCGGGGGGGCAGCGTCCTGCAGGGTCCCAAGGGGTGGGGGGTGGGGCAGGGTTCCCTTCCGAGCCCGCTCGGCGTGTGAGCCGCGTCGGCCGCCGAAGGGGCTGCCGAAGGGGCCGAACGGGCGCAGAGCCGAGAGGCTCGTGAGTTGCTCGCCAGTTCGGGGCGGCCGACTTGGCACGATCTATGTTGCGGCCGAACGGGCTTCGAAGCGAATCCTGGGGGGGGGGGCGGGACCACGGGGGGAACCTAGATGCTCGAGGGAATGTCGCCCTCCCTTCGGGGGCTGAATTGATGAGGTCCATCCGGCGGCCGACTGGACTCGGAAGCGAACCCTGGGGAGGGGCGGGACCACGCGGAGAGCCTAGATCTCTGCTCGCTGTGTAGGCAACAGCCGCGCCGAATTGTGCTCGCCCGCTGCGGGCCTTCACGGGCCAGACGCCGGGACCGCCCAACAAAACGACTCGGGATGGAGAGCTGGTCCCTGGGAAGGGGGGGGGCCGTCGGAGGTCCACGAGGGGAAAAGGGCACGACGCCAGAGGTCCGGGAAAGGGGAGGAGTTACGCGGACGTCTTCCTCATTCTCGGGCCTCGCGGAGGGCTCTCGTCGCCGCCACAGCCGCGACCTTGGTCGAGGCTCGGTCGGGGGATCGCTCTCGAGGCGGCCTCGGAGGGGTCGTGGATGCACCTTGGGAGCCTGTCGGGGGCCTCTTGCGGCTCGTTGGGGGGCCTTTGGGGGATCTCGGGGCCTCCTGGGAGGCGGCGCGACTGCGGCTCGCGTTTGGGGGACATCTTGGCGGCCACCCATTCAGCACCCATGCCGCTACCCCTGCCTTCGTTACCCCCCAGAGCCTCCCGGAGGCTTTGTCGCCGCCTCTGGACTCGCCGCCCTGGCCGCCGCCGCATCCTGGTCAGAATGCACCCTGGGAGAGGTCTGGGGATCGGGGGCAACAATAGGGGGGGGTAGGCATAGGGGGGACGCATTGACCCCCAATCGCCCACTGATCGTCGACAGGGGCCCGATAGACCTCCCAGGTGCCTTCTAGTGCCGCTTTTGAGGGTTCAAGTGGCGAGAGTGCTAGAATCGTGTTCAGGCGTTTTCTTGTTCGCCGAGTTCGGCTTCTCCACAGGAGCATCTGGGGCACGTTGCAAGTTTGGGTCCCCAGGGACGCTTCCAAGATCCAGGGAAAGGCCTCGCGGCGATTCATGGGAGCGCCAGGGGATCAGGGCCTTGGGGCTTCAAAGAAAATTCGCGCATTCCGTACGGATGGCCGTTTCAGGGCTTAAGGAGGTTCCACGCAGTGCCTACAGCTCAATTGCGGTGCTTTGTCCATTATACGTGCAGGTGTGTACACATACACGTTGATCATTCCTAAGTGTTCCAAAATTCCTTGATTTCTTGGTGGCCAAGATCCTTGCACTTCTAATTGTTCCATCCTGGGCCCGGCCACCAGGGGGCCAGGAACACTTAGAAACGAGCACAATTAGAAACGAGCATAATTAGAAATGAACGACGTGTATACAGAGAGTGATGTGCTGCCCCTGGCGCTCCTCTCCTAGACTGCCCCCCACGGTCCACGGAACCTATTCCGCTGCCCTGGGACTCTCAGTCCGCACCCCGTGCCCGCTCGGCGGGCCCAGAAGGATGGATTCTGGTTTCATCCCATGCGGAGGGGGGTTGGGCGGGGACGGCTTCGGGAGCAGAATCTCCAGCGTCCGTCTCCCCCCTCTGTTTATCCTCCTCGCTCGTGATGCGTCTCCTCCTCCGCCTCCTCCTCCTCCTCGTCGTCCGCCTCCTCCATGTCCTCTTGGGGGAGGAGGGGGGAGCGAGAATGGAGGGGGGAGGATGTGAAGGAGGAGTAGGAGGGGTAGGACGAGGGAGGGCGAGGAGGAGGAGGAGGAGGAGGAGGAAAGAGGAAGATATGAAGAAGGAGTTCCGTTCGTTCCTCCCTCCCCCCCATCCCACCCCTTCCCTTCTCACCCGTCCTTCCGCCCCCCCCCCCACCACCCGATCATCCGCCCCTCCCCCCCTCCCCTGCATCCGTGTCTCAATCGTGACCCCGTGGTACCGAAGCCGTCCCCCCCCCACACCTCCCCCTGGCCCAGCCACACGACATTCTACGGCGTGCGGTGCACTCATCAGCCGAGCCCCTGGATCGGCGACTACGGCCAGTTCTGGATGGTGCCGTCGGTGGAGGACACCACGGAGGAGGAGGCGCGGGGCGCCGAGCAGGGCGCGCCTTCGCTCAGACGAGAGCCTACGGCCCGCCTGGACGTGGGGGGCGGGACGTGGAAGCCGTATCTCTGGGAGGGCGCGCTCTCGGACCTGACCGAGGCGGACCTGGCCACGTCGCGACCCTACGCCGCCAAGCCCTGGCAGATGTACGGTTTGGCCGGCTACCCGGGTGGGCACGGGCCCACCGCGGTCATGGGCAGGCCTTGGGCCACGGTGCGCAATGCGTCTGGAGACGTCAGCATTGCAACCGCAACCACGCGGACTACCACCACAAAGACAACCACGACCACAACAACGACAACCTCTTACCCAGCCCGCCCATCCCAAGATGGGATCAAATTAGCGTTGACCGCAACCCAACGTGCAGCTGCCATGGAAGTGGTGTTCCCACCCCTGTCGCAAAATTCGAGACATCACAGATATCGTCTCGAAGTGTTGCTGAACCACCCGATGCAAGACAGCATCAACGCTAGCATTCGGCACGACGGGCGCCCTGTGCTGTCTGGGTGGACGAAGACGTTCGTCGGCGGAGTCCCTCACATGTGCCGCGGTCATGATTGCGAGGACAAGTTCTCCCACTGGTTCTATCTGACAGTTGAGCGCAGCACTGGAGGCTGATCCCACTCGTTCTCCTGCGCCTCCCACTCCTCCTCCTCCTCCTTCTTCTCCTTCTCCTCCTCCTCCTCCCTCCTCCTCCTCACCTCCCTCCTCCTCCTCCTCCTCCTCCTCCTGCTCCTCCTCGTTCCTCCTCCTCACCTTCCTCCTTCTTCTCCGCATCCCACCCCTGAGGCTCCCTGCACGGGGCAGTCGCGCTGCGCCAGAAGTCGAAGAATAGAGCCTCCATTGACATCGATCCAGAGGTCTGCGGGCAGAAAGAGTGTCGGTTCCTGATCCGTGTGGGGACAAGTTTCGTCAGCGCAGAGCAGGCAGAGTTGAACTTCGAGCGAGAGGTAGGCGAAAAGTCCTTCGAAGCGATGGTGTCTGAGGCTAAGATGGAGTGGCGAGACGTGTTGGGCCGAGTGGACGTGCTGGATTTCGGCGACGGCTACAGCAAGCAGGAACAGAATGGGCTTTTAGAGATCTTCTACTCGTCACTTTACCGAGCCACGCAGTTTCCGCGCCTGCTGCACGAGGAGAGCAAGACAGGCTCTGGGAGATCGGGAAAGGGCCTCGTCAGGCTCTTGTGTCCTCCTGCATGGTTTCTCCAAGACCCTCCTGGAACCATCTTGAGCCGCGAGGCCCAGAAGACACACATAATTCAAACAACTGAGAGCCACACTGGGAGTTCAGATCATGTGGGCCTTGCCGGAAGGGCGCGATGTCTTTGCAGCCTCTTGAGGCCCCTCTCGCGCCTTTTGGCGTTTTCTTGGGAGCTGCCAGGCGCCTGTGCAGGCAATGTTGGACCGTCCTGGCGGCATGTGGCCGTCCTGGGCCGACTTGGCGAGCCTTGGAGAGCCCAGGGGCAGCCTCGGGCCGCCGAGGGGGCCTCGGGAGGGAGGGGGGGGAGAATTTGCACGCAGCTGAGCGTGAAGAAAGGGCAGGGAGGCAGCAGAAGTCTTGCAGAAGCCCTACCAGGCAGCACTTGGCATCCTACCGCGCCTCAGCGTGACAGGGAGCACGGTGGCGGATTTCTGACATTGACATCAGCTTCAGAAGTGTGGGCCGTCGTGTTCCCCCCTCCCCCTGGACGTGCTGTTCGGGGGCGGAAAAGAGGGGGGGGATGAACAGGGGGGGGATATCATGGCGGGGGTTATGATATTTCCCCAGACTTTATGGCGCGTCTTTTTATTTCATTACATCCCTGGCCCCCCCGCTGGGCCGCGCACATGCCGCCGGTCATGATTTGCACCCCCCCTCTTGGACACCCCCCTCTTGGCCGCTCCCGAGCTGTGTACCAAACATCGCAGGGTGGGCCATTTCCCGAATCCGTGTGCCGGTGTGGATCGTCAGCGCGCCTCGTGCCTCGTCTCCGCCGGCGTCGCCGTCGCCGTGGTCGCGGTGCGTGTCGCTCTGCTCGGGGCTTGTTTCGTTCATGCAGTACCCCCCCTTTGCTGCTGACCTGAGCCTCGTTGTGGAGGACGATCAATGGAGATTAAGCATGTTGCCAAATCAGTTCCAGATGTCTAAAACATGTGTTAAACATGCTTTCAACATGTGAAACAACATGTTAATTTCAACACATAACATTTTGATTTCAACACATTTTAAGTTCAATGATCGGACTGTTGGGGTGTCCATTGTCGTGGCATCCACGAGTGGTTCCTCCCGAGGCGAGGTCATCCACTTCTCCCCGTACGACCCCGCAGGGCGGGTCCTCCCAGGCTTCGCCGCCACGGACAGCGGCTTCTGGGACGGCTACCGCACGGTGCCCCCGGGGGGAGCGGCCGAGCCCCATCCCCTCCAAGAGGGAGGAGCAGCAGGAGAACGGGGGGGGGAGAGGAGAGGAAGGTGGGAGCGAGGGAGGGATGGAGAATCTCAAGAGGGAGACCATGAGGACGAGGAGGACGACGAGCCCGAGTCAGAGCAGAAGCATGATAGGCAGGAGGGAGGACTACGAGCTCGGCGCAAAGCGACAGGGGGGGTCGCGAAGAGGATGAGCGGGTTTGAGGGTGAAGCTCACTGCCACTTCCGCCACTTGAGGAGACATTCGCGCAGAACTCGGCGGAGGGATCCAACCGAAACTCAGCCCTTTGGTCCCCGAGGAAGGTCACCGCGAGGCCTGGCTGTACATAGCGCACCTGGCGGGGCCCTCTGGCGTGCACGGGCCACCATCCTCGAACGTGTGGACGACGTTGCCATACTGCATTGTTTCCTGGCCAGCGCCGCGGTGCGTTGCTCGAGCTCCTTGACCAGCTTCCTCGCGCTGTCGAGCCTCAGGCCCGTGCCGAGAGCATCGCGCAGCACCAGGCTTTTAGCCCGAAGAAGAGCAACTACGCAAACATAATATATCGGAGTTCCGCGCGCATTTCGCAGACGGTCGCTGGAACCCCCCTCTCCCTGGCGCGCAGACTGCGCCAGGGCCTGCGACAGAGGCGCCACCAAGGGGGCCCAGCGACGATCCAAGAATTCCGCGTGGAGTTTAGAGAGTTTATGTTGATGTAGTTGTTGTGTGCCTGTCTTGGTTGGGTTGTCGTTGCATACCTTCGGATTCATATACCCTCGCAATTCTGACTTAAAGCTGCCTCGCCCGCGCGCCGCACACGCTGCACACGAGAGCTCCGCGGCCGCTTCTGGCCGAGCACAGGACCCAGAGCCCGAAACGCGCCGCCAACAAATAGCGGCTGAGATCGGGGTTGCACCAAGAGTGTGCCTCTCTCCTTGCGCATTCCGCGTGACGCAAGGCGCTGCCGGCTGCGGTTCGCGGCGCGCCCGGGCGCGCTGGATGAATCAGTTGCGAGTGCCTTCTCCCGCCTCCCCCTCCTCCTCCCCCCCCTCTCGCTGCACAGCGTGCTCCGTGGATGGAGGGACACAGTGTGCCTCCCCTGGTGTCGCCCGCGCTCGCGCAGAGGCCGCCGACCGCGCTGGCCACCCTTGGGGGCGGCCGCGCCCTGCCCGGCTTCTTTTCGCGGAGATCGGCGTTCGAGCCGTGCCCCCGGCTGCTGCCCCCGCTCTGTCTGCCAGAGGGGGGGGGGGGGCGGGGCAGTGGTAGAAAGCTGTGCTTTCAAAGGCGGGATGCTTCTCCATGCCCTTACCAGCCTCGAACGTATCCCCATGCCAAAGGTTGACACGCCAAAAGGCGATGACAATCTTAGGGATTCGCCCTCGCAAAAAAAAGGGAATCCCCAAGATTGGCATCGTGATGAGGAGGTGCCCAGCATAGGGATAGGGATCTGTTCCAGGCTGGTAATGCCCCCGCCCCGCCCCTTTGTAAAGTTCTGGCGTGGGCACGGGCGTGGACAGGATGCCGGCCGCCTACTCCTCCGTCACGCCGTGTTCCGCGGAGCTACAGTTGGGAGCCGCGGATGCGCCGCGCCTCGGCGTCCGCGATAAGGCATCACAGCACCCTCCCCGAAGAGCGCGTGCTCCGCGACGCTCCTCTCTAGGCCTTTACATGGGGCCCGAGCAGATGAGGTCGGAGGATCGCGCCGCATCGCCGATGTTTTTTGCGATGCGGCTCGATGTGGAATCCGAATTTCTCCACGCCGATGGTTCCGATGCATCACCAACGTCGCCGATGCATTGTCGATGCGGCGCGAGACTCCGACCCCATCTGCTCGGACCCTATCTGGGAGGCCCCCTGCAAGCGGGCAGTGCTAGAGGTGGGTCGCCACCGGGGGGCACCAGCTCCTCCCAAATCGCGAGGCTCCAGGAGCGAGGTTCGCGGCGGCATTGGGACGCTTGGGGTCGTTGGGGTGAGGGGTGGGGGGGGGGCTTTGGGGTGTCAAGCGGCGGCCACCCCACTAGTGGCCACCCTTGGCCATTCCTGGACCAAGGCTGGCGGCACAGCCCCCGTGCGCTGCGATGACGGCGCGTGTAAGTCCGGGGGGGTAGATCAGAATTTGCTTCTTTGAGAAAAAATGTATGTGGTGCAGGCTATGTCGTGTAACCGATGCGGCTCGAGCTACGTGGTGCAATCTACGTGTTGCACAAGATGGGGTGCAAGCTATGTGGTGCAATCTACGTGGTGCAGTATAGCAACGCGAAAAGAAAACAAAACAAATCACTGTGAGGCAATGTAAAGTAACGCACAGCATTGCGAAGTTACCCAGAGAGGCGACGGGGCGGCGACGGCGACGACAAGGCGGCGGACCCGGCACCGGAGCCTAGACGACGGGCGGCGACGAGGCGCGTCAGGGCGGCGACGGCGACGACAAGGCGGCGGACAAGACACCGCAGCCCAGTTGCGAAAGAAACGAGGACCCCGAAGTGCAAGCTCTGTTCGGGGAACGTGCACTGTCCTGAGGCCTTGGGGGCTGCCTGGGGGCCCTCAGGGCAGTGTCGGATATCTCCTGAGGCTGGTTCGGGGTGCGTTGGGCGGCCCGTCGGGCTGCCATCTCGGGCCCTCGTGCTGCCGCGAGTACCCGCTCCGCGCGATGCGCTGAGCCTTGCACGTGGCTCGGGAGGGGGCGCTGCCTCCCTGCAGATCCGACGTCTTGAGTTGTCCAAGCGTAGGGGAACAAAAAGTGGCATAAACATTTCAACTCTGAGGTCCGCGCGGATTTCTCGGATCCGCGCTGGACTCCGCTGGCGGCGCCTCCGGCGCCGCCCCTGGCGCGCTCCGCGCGCCAGGGAGGGGGGTCCAGCGCCGATCCGAGAAATCCGCGCGCGCCGATCCGAGAAATCCGCGCGGACCTCCGAGTTTTTATGTTTATGTCATTTTTTGTTCCCCTAAAACGCCCCCCCCCCCCAGAAGTCTCGGCCCCTTCTCCGGGACCGCCACTTCATCCCGAGTCGTTCTCTGACCGTCTGGAGGGCCTGGCGAGGGCCCCCCGAGGCCGAAAGTACAGCAGATGTTTCTCTGAGTGCGCTGTGGGGGCCGAGGAGGCCTGGGTCGCTTCGGTGCTGCCGCCCCCGTTCCCCAGGTGTACCCCCTGCTCTCCATCCTGTACCCCGAGAAGCTCGGGCAGCTCGTCCAGGGCTTCGTGACCGCCTGGGAGGAGTCCGGGTGGCTGCCGAAGTGGCCGTACCTGGGACGAGCCGGCTGGCGGAGCGGGGCTGCCCGCCTCGGGCCCAGACCTGCGGCGTCTCGGAAGCGAAGGGATTGGCCCTGGGGCGTTCCAGAGAGGGCCTCGCGCGCGAGCGCTCGGGGAGTTGCTATCCCTGCCACGGCGGGAGGCTGCGGAAGCGAAGCGGGGGCGGCGCCGCCAGCGGAAGCTGGCGGAAGCAAGGTCGGCCATCCAAGAGATGCAGTGTTTGGTTGGTTCCGGATTCCTGGAGTCCGCCCCGCCATATCTCGGGGGGTATACCCACGGGAGGGCATTCAGCGGACTGTCATGGACGAAAAAGCGGCCCTGGGGACGGGGCCGACGGAAAAAACACGACGCTGGACGTCTGGGAGGGGACAGTACAAGGGCTCTACAGTACCCCCCCTGATTGGTCAGGAGGGCGTATTTACCGATCCAGGGCGCAGGACTGGCTGGGGAATTGTTGAATGCCCCGCCCCAGAGGTCCCGACCCCGTCCTGGGGTGGAGTTTTTTTTTTGTTCCGTATCGTCCTGGGTAAACTTCGGCTGGCCCTGGGGTTTCAACAGCAGGGTTGGAGAAAAGAGAGCTCGAACAAAACATGCTGCTTCGAGCGATTCCCACTCGAGGACGCGAGGCGGGATCCCCCGGGAGCACGGGGTCCCTCCTGGCCGGGCGGCCGCGGCATGCAATCGTCGCTCGTGCCAAAGACGCGAGGCGGGATACGCAGGAATCACCGCGATCCGTATGGCCTGGCGGCTGCGGAATGCAGGGCGTGCGAGGCGGGTGGGGTGCTCCCTCCTCTGAGGTCATCAGCCCCGGCCTGTCGGGTGGGAAGCCACGCGAGCGACGCAGAAAAGCGGTGTCGATTGCGCGGACATCTGCGCGCGAGCTACTTGGGCAAGATGGCGCGTAAGGGCCCTCGTTTTCAATGTTGCGTGCCGCGCTGGTGGCCCGCGTAAGCCACCGCGTAAGCCACCGCGTAAGGTCGCTACAGTCAACGCACATGGTAAGGACACGACTTCCCAAGGGTTCCCTTGCGTCCTGGCCCCTTCGGCCCGTCCTTCGCCGCTTTCGCTGGCCAGCCTCTCAGGGTATCCATTTTGGCGTCCAAGACCCTTGCGTCCTTACCTCGCGTCCTTGCCATCAGCTTTTACTGCATGTCATCCCCGCACCCCCAGACCCCGTACGTCGTGATCTTTCCTCGATGTGGACTGGCCTGGACCCATCCCTGGGGACAGGTTCTCCATCCTGTGTCGTCTCTTGACGGTCCCGAGGCCCAAAGAAGGCCCCCAGAAGACGGAAATTATCAAAAACCGTCCGCCGCGAATTTCTTCGCAGCCCCAGGGGGCTCGGGCTACAGTCGGAGATCGGGAATTGCGAGACGCAGAGCACAGAAGCCGTTTGCCTTCAGACTCCGCCAAGTTTATTTGCATGGAGGGGGGGGAGGGGGGGGGGGGCGTGGCGAGGTCCGAGAGGGAATCTGGATCTCACGCTAAACTCACTCGCACGCCTGCTCGGCCCAGCGCTGCTGGAAAAGGCGGCGGGTGGGCGGGGTGTCAAGGGAGGAAGAACCACCAGGACCGGACAATTGGCGTTTACGAAACGACCCTGGGCGTTTACTAAACAGCCCTGCCCTGTTTGATTCCTTCTTTGGGTGCATTTACTAAACGGCTTCGCGTGTCGGGGCGGTTATTGTCGGGGTGGATTTTCTGCCCTCTTGGGGTGGGGAACTGCCATGCAAATTAACCTGCTTGAGTCTGACGACGAGCGCCCTCGGAGCCGTGGCCCCCCGCCGCCCCGCTCGTCCCGGCCATCCCCTGGCGAGCGCGGCAACATGGAGGGCACGCTCGGCGACGCGGCGCCGGGCTCGGGGCCGCCCCGCCAGGGTCTCCGCTTGGCCGGCCCGATCGGGCAGCGCCGCCCGACGCACGTGGCGGCTCGGGAAGAAGATCGAGATCGCCAGTCGTTTCGCCGCTTGCCTCGAGGCCTCCCAGGTGGCGTCCGAGTAGGTCTTGGCATCGCTCGGACGTGCATGGTTTCGGCGAGGGCCATCGAAGAGCAGACTAGATCATTTGTCCGAAGCAGACCTGCACGAAACCGAGAAACGCACGGGGAATGGACGTCCGAGCGATGGCTAGAGATGGAGTCGGAGGATCGCGCCGCATCGCCGATGCATCGGCAATGCGGCTCGATGTAGAGCCCGATGTTCTTCACGCCGACGTCACCGATGCATCGCCGATGCATCGCCGATGCATCTCGGATGCATCTTCGATGCATCGGCGGTGCGGCGCGATCTTTCGACCCCATCTACTCGGACCCCGTTTGGGAGGCCTCCACTGCCGGAGACGGACGAGCGGCATTCACACAAGTGTTCGGAGCTCAGCGCGGCGGCCCCCCAGACCCTAGTGGGTCCTGGAAACATCGCGACGGACGGCATATGACGCTCTCGGGGTGGTCTCCAGCAGCTGCGCCTCGCCGAGGGCTTTCCGGGAGTGTCCGCGGCGACACGAACGCACGCCCGAGACCCGAGGTCGACCCGAAAGCCAGACACTTTCCCGTTGCGAAGAAAACACGACGGCCGGACGTGTGTGTGTTTTTGTTCGGCCTCTGGGGGCCCTTACCGGTCCTCGGGGCCGCCAACAGGATCTGCTCGACATGAGAAGCCGATGTCCAGGAACGGGTCCAGACCTCCGGAGGTCATGCCATGGAGAAACCACGACGTCGCGGGCCTCGGTCAGAACAGGATCGAAATCGCCAGGGTTGTGGTTGGGAGGACAGGTCTAGGTCTCCGACGATGTGATTCTTTCGGCCCTCGGGTGTTCCTCGACCTCGGCCCTCGCTGGCCGTTTTCGGTCCCGGGGTCAGCCAACATGGACCCGGGGCGGAAGAGAGTGTCGGAGGTTGGGAAGCGCATGTTGGCCGGGGCGATACAGGGGGGGCAGCAAGGGTTGCCGAAGAGGTGCCCTTCCTTCCCCCACGTTTATCAGCCCCCAGCGGCGAGCGAGGGGGGGAAGCGAGAAGGGGAAGGTCTTCTGAGAAGGCTCGAAAGTTCCCCGGCCTTCTGAGAAGTTTTCGAAGCCTTCCCCGAAGACAGAAACAACATCTCAGAGGGCGCGAGGGTTTCTGAGAAGTCCTGCCGCCTTCTGAGAAGGCCTTCTCCTTCTCGCGTCCCCCCCTCGCTCGCCGCCGAAACTCGCGCCCGAAGAGAAGCGGTGGGGACCTCCTGGGCCGCGGACCGACGAAAATGGAATCGACGGGTTTCCCGGACCTTCGTGAGGAGGAGGAGGAGGAGGAGGAGGAGGAGGAGGAGGAGGAGGAGGAGGAGGAGGAGGAGGAGGGGAGGAGGAAGGAGGAAGGGGGGGAGGAGGAGGAGGAGGAGGAGGAGGAGGAGGAGGAGGAGGAGGAGGAGGAGGAGGAGGAGGCGGAGGAGGAGGGAGGAGGAGCAGGAGAGGAGCAGGAGGAGGAGGAAGAGAAGGAGAGAAGAGAAGGAGGAGGAGGAGGAGGAGGAGGAGGAGGAGGAGGAGGAGGAGGAGGAGGAGGAGAGGAGGAGGAGGGGGAGGAGGAGGAGGAGGAGGAGGAGGAGGAGGAGGAGGAGGAGGAGGAGGAGGAGGAGAGGGGTGGAGGAGGAAGGGGAGGAGGAGGAGGAGGAGGAGGAGGAGGAGGAGGAGGAGGAGGTGGAGGAGGAGGAGGAGGAGCAGGAGGAGGAGGAGGAGGGAGGAGGAGGAGGAGGAGGAGGAGGAGGGGGGAGGAGGAGGAGGCGGGGGAGGAGGAGGAGGAGGAGGGGAGGAGGAGGAGGAGGAGGAGGAGGAGGAGGAGGAGGAGGAGGAGGAGGAGGAGGAGGAGGAGGAGGAGAGGAGGGAGGAGGAGGAGGAGGAGGAGGAGGAGGAGGAGGAGGAGGAGGAGAGGAGGAGGAGGAGGAGGAGGAGAGGAGGAGGAGGAGGAGGAGGAGGAGGAGGAGGAGGAGGAGGAGGAGGAGGAGGAGGAGGAGGATGAGGAGGAGGAGGGGGAGGAGGAGGAGGAGGAGGAGGAGGAGGAGGAGGAGGAGGAGGAGGACGACGACGAGGAGGACGAGGACGACGAGGAGGACGAGGAGGACGAGGAGGAGGAGGAGGAGGAGGTGGAGGAGGCGGAGGGGGAGGAGGAGCAGGCGGCCAATCTTGTGCGGAGGACCATGGGCACTTGTCGGCTCGGAGGGGTTGCGCGCTGCAGGTTTTCTGGCGTCCGGGTGCCGCTTCTGGGTCCCTGGGCCTGCCCCAGCGAGGGCGTTCGCGTAGCGTCGCCCCGCCCATTTCGGTGCGGATATCTTACGTATCGTGCCCCCGCAGGGAGGTCCAACTTCGGCCCCAGTGAGGGCATTTGCATAGCGTCTCCCCGCCCAGTTCGGCACAGCCTTCTCACGTCTCGTGCCCCCGCATGAGGATTCAATTTCGGCTCTTAGCGTCGCCCCGACCATTTTGGCGCACCCCTCGCTCGGGTCGTGCCCCGTAGTGAGCCCCACCTTCGGCCCCAGTGAGGGCGTTGGAATGACCTCGCCCCGCCCACTTCAGCACACCCATTATGCTGATCGTGCTCGACAAGGACATTTGCGCGCGTCTGCGGGCTCCTTACCGAGCCCCCTATCCGCACTGCTCCGCGGGCCGCAGTATATGACGAGGGGGGCATGCCATGCGCGACGCGCAGATGCAGAGCACTTGTCCGCTCGTTAGGCTAATTTTCGAACCTGCGTGCCACACTGAGGTGCTCGCGGATGCCATAGCCAAGGGCATAGGCGGCTTCAACCGAACCGCGGCCTATGCGGCCATACGCCAGGACGCGTTTCTCGTGCCGAGCTTGCCGAAGAAGGCCACTCGCTGGGACACCGTGGCGCCTGGGTTTGGGCGCAGCGCTCTGAAGGGTTACTTGGACCTCGGCTATGTTCCAGACGGGTTTCGAGATTCTCGGAACTATACTGTGGCCGATGTGGTCTCGAGAACATTGGACTACCTCTTGGCCGACAAGGCGATTGCCCACGCCGCCGAAGCTCTGGGGTTCGCTGGCGATGCCGAGGCCCCTTGGTTGGCTTGGGCCGTCTTGGCTCGCAATGTGCGTATCGCGCTTGCCTCCACTCCTCCCTTCCCTGGCGACAGTCGAAGTGTCTAGTAGCGAGATTACAACACTGTCTTTCGGGCTCCGTGTGTTAGTGACTGCTCCGGATGGAAAGGTCTTTGGGAACCTTTCTACCTTGTGTGGGAGTGATGAAACCGGTCATCCCCATCCAGCTTCTCATGTTTCTCCTCCCCTTGCCCCTTCTTTGCATCCTTCCTCATCCCTCCTCCTCATCCTCCTCCTCCTCTGCATCCTTCCTCCCCCCCCTTCACTTGAGAAGGAGGAGGTGGAAGGAGGTGGGAGTGCAAGCTGGGCGCGCCCGCGCCCTATCCGACGCCCTGACCCTCTGATCCATCCCTTCTCATAGCCTTTGAACCGCTCGGACGTGTGCATTTTTTCCTTCGGCGAGGACCATCGAGGAGCATCGTTGATCATTTGGCGAAAAAAACCACGCAGGAAACCGAAACAAGCACAGGGAATGGACGTCCGAGCGATGGACAGTAGCGCGGGGAGCAGGGGAGCAGGGGAGGAGGAGGAGGAGGAGGAGGAGGAGGAGGAGGAGGATCGTAACAGCTGTCAGTTCGGGCACGGGAGGGTCTTCACCGGTCGTGTACATTGCCGCTTCTCGCTCTCACCTCCTGCTCCTCCAGCAAAAAACTGTGGGGTCGCTGCTTGGCGAAAGGAGGCCCCGGCCCCGTGACCGAACAGGGTTTTTTTTGAAGGGGGTGGCTTGGAGGGTTAAAGAGGGGGTCTGCAACAGGGGGTCTTCAATGGGGGCTGAATGGCCCATGTATGCTCAATGTATCGTTCATGTATGTGAACGGGTACGATTGGCATCCAATGTTGGCGGTCATTGAGGACCAGTCGTTCGTGCCCGCGCGTTGCCCGCGCGGGCGCACGCGCCGTCCATCCATTATCGTTCATGCGTGCGGGGGTTCTTGCATATTGCGCGTGGGGCAGCGAAGTGGAGTGCAAGTGTGCCTTGATTGTGCGATTGATGATCGTGTATGTTCCCAAACGATGACCTCTCGACCCCCAAGACAGATTTGAAATGGGGCCCACGTTTCTCCCAAAATGTGAATTCACATTTTCCTTTTTCCCAAAATGTGAATTCACATTTTCCTTTTTCCCAAAATGTGAATTCACATTCTGGCCCCTTTCATAAAGAATCCTACACAAAAATCCAAAATGTGAATTCACATTTTCCTTTTTTCCAAAATGTGAATTCACATTTTCCTTTTTCCCAAAATGTGAACTCACATTTTGCTTTTCCCCACAATGTGAATTCACATTTTGCCCTGGCCTTCAAGATTCCCAACACTGAGGCGTTTTGTTCCGCATGACAGATTGGCTGGGCAGATTTCGACACTCACCTGACCGCTTTCGTTTGTTCCAGCCTGTTCTTTTTGCGCCCTCAGCGCACGTTGCCTTCGTCGCCTTCCCGAGCCCCCCGCCCCCTTGCTTCCTTTCCTTTCAAGTCTCGCGCATGGGTGCAGGCGGGGGGCTTCCATTAGTTCCCCCGCCGAACACAGCAATCGAAGATGCATCGCCCATTCATGGCCCATAAAGACATCATTGCCGGGACCCTGCGGCCGACCCCCACTTTCACCCTTGGCGGGCAGGGGGGGCAGGAGCGGGAGGAGGAGGAGGAGGAGGAGGAGGAGGAGGAGGAGGAGCGGGGGAAAGGAGCGTTTGCCAAGCTCGCTGCAGGCTCACAGGGTCTGCGTGTATGTGTGCGTGTGTGATTATATGTGTGTGTGCGTTGTGTGTGCTGTGCATGGTGTGCGGTGTGTGTTGGCTGTTTTCTGTTGTCTGTTGTGTGGTGTGTGTGTGTGTTTGTGTGTTTGTGTGTGTTTGTGTGTTTGTGTGTTTGTGTGTTTGTGTGTTTGTGTGTGTGTTGCGCGTTGCGTGTGGTGTATTGTCTGTTGCGTGTTGTATGCTGTGTGGTGCGCGTTGTGCGTTGTATGTGGTGCCTGGGTCTGTCGTGTGTTGTGTGCTGTGTGTTACGTGATGAGGGTTGTGTGGTGAGTGTTGTGTGGTTTGTGGTGCGTGCTGTATGTTGTGCTGAACTGTGTGGGGCGTGGTGCGTGGCGTGTGGGGTGTGGTGTATGGTCTGTGGTGCATGTGGATTGTTCCATGATGAGTGTTGTGTATTGTGCGTTGTGTTGTGCATTGTGAGTGTGTGTTGTTGTTTGTTGCTTGGTGCGTGGTGATTGTGTTGTGTATTGTGTAGTGTGCGTGTGTCGTATGCTGTGTGCCGTGTGTTGTGTGGTGTATGGTGTTTGTTGCTTGTTGTGTGGTGATCGTGTTGCTTGTGTAGTGTGTGTGTGTGTGCTATATGCTGTATGCTGTGTGCAGTGAGCTGTGTGTGTTGTGTTCTGTGGTCTGTGGTCTGTGGTGTGTGGTGTGTGGTGCGGGTTGCGTGTTTCGTGATGTGTGATGTGTGTGCTGTGTGTAGTGTGGTGTGTGTTGTGGGAGTGTGTTGTGGTCTGTTGTTTGTTGTGTGGTGTTTGTTTTGCTTCTTGTGTAGTGTGTGCGTGTTGTTTATTTAACCGCTTCGCTCATTCCGCCGGCCCTGGAGCCCTCTTTAGGGCCTCTTGGGGGCCTCTTGGGGACCTCCTGGGAGTCTCTTGGGGCTCCTTGGCGGCGTCTTGGGGGCCCCCAGGGCCTCTTGGGGGGCTTGTGGGGGCCTCTTGGGGCGGGAGGGGGGGTAGTCGATTGCGGCTCTCCCCTCGGAGGCCACAATCCTCGTGAGGGGTGTCGAAAAATGGCTCTCCCCTGGAGTGCTCTGGTGGCTTCTCCTGGGACCTTGCCGGGGTACCTTTCGTCCGGGGGCCCCCAGGGGCCGTTCCGCGCGCGCGAACTAGAAATAGATTGTTAACCAGTTACCGGAGATCTTAGCACGCCTCTGGCCCGTTGGGCTGGCGAATTGTGTGCTGTGTGATGTGTGCTGTGTGTTCTGTGTGTTCTGTGGGGTGTGTTGTGTGGTGTGTGGTGTGCGGTGAGTGGTGTGTGTGTGATGTGTGTGATGTGTGTGCCTGTGTGTGTTGCTCCTCCCGAGGCTCGCGGGAGCCCGCAGTTTGAACAGTCGTTTCTCCAGGAGCAGACAACGCCGGCGTGCCCAGAGTTTCCAGGGTCGGCCAGGCATCGTCTCTTCTCATGGCTTCTCAGGGGCAACGTTTGGGGGGGTGGGGTGGGCGTAGGGGGGGACGCATCGGCCCACAATCGCCCGTCCAACGCCGATATGGGGCCCGACGGACCACTCCTCCCAGGACTTGTCGGAGTTGCTTTCGAGGGCCCGTCGCCGATCTGTCGGCGACGTCTCGCCGACCCCAGGGCGATGTCCCCCCCCCCTCCCCCTAAGCCAGTCTATACCTATACGAACACCCTGCGGGTGATAAGGAGGTTGTGGGGGGGTGGGGGGAGGGGGGTGGCTCATGACGATAACTGTGATGAGCAACCATGATGAGCAACCATGATGAGCAACTAGCGGGACAATGATGAGCAACCATGATGACCAACCATGATAGGCAACCATGATGGGCAACCGGCGGGGCAATGATGAGCAACCGGCGGGACAATGATGAGCAACCATGATGAGCAACCATGATGAGCAACCGGCGGGGCAATGATGAGCAACCATGATGAGCAACCGGCGGGACAATGATGAGCAACCATGATGAGCAACCATGGTGAGCAACCATGATGAGCAACCGGCGGGACAATGATGAGCAACCATGATGAGCAACTGGCGGCACAATGATGAGCAACCATGATGAGCAACCAGCGGGACAGTGATGAGCAACCATGATGAGCAACCATGATGAGCAACCATGATGGGCAACCGGCGGGACAATGATGAGCAACCATGATGAGCAACCGGCGGGACAATGATGAGCAACCATGATGAGCAATCGGCGGGACAAGGATGAGCAACCATGATGATCAACTGGCGGGACAATGATGAGCAACCATGATTGGCAACCATGACGAGCAACCATGATGAGCACCCGGCGGGACAATGATGAGCAACCATGATGAGTAACCGTGATGAGCAAAAATGATGAGCAACAGGCGGGACAATGATGAGCAACCATGATGAGCAACTGGCGGGGCAAGGATGAGCAACCATGATGAGCAACCGGCGGGACAATGATGAGCAACCATGATGAGCAACCATGTTGAGCAACCGGCGGGACACTGATGAGCAACCATGATGAGCAGCCAGCGGGACAATGATGAGCAACCATGATTGGCAACCATGATGAGCAACCGGCGGGACAATGATGAGCAACCATGATGAGCAACCGGCGGGACAATGATGAGCAACCATGATGAGCAACCATGACGAGCAACCGGCGGGCAACCGACGGGACAATGCGGGCCACCGCTTGACAACACGGGGGGGGGAAACATTTGTGTTGGCGGGCCCCTAGCGACAGCAGGGTGAATTCCTCTCGCTGGCCCACGCAGCTTCGCTTCGCCCGCACGCACGGGACGAGCACGAACTCGAAACTCGATTTCCCGGCGGGGGGACTCCGTTACACTGCGATCTCACCCCCTAACCTCCGACTTACGCAGGCCGAAAGATTTTCCTCTTGAGCCCTACATGTCGGAAGTGACGCGCCGATCCCCTCTGTTCTCCTCCCACCTCCTCTTGCCTCTTCCCTCATCCGTCCCCTCTTCATCCTGGGAAGACCCCCTCCCCAGTATAATCATAGCATTGGTCTGCTGATCCACAGCTCCATGGATAGCATGATGCTTCACTTGCGGTGCTCCGCGGATCCCATTTCCGGATGTTAATTATTAGTATATTTATTCCCTGGAAGGAAATGGATCCGTCGTGCTTTCACACACACAGGAAATTGGATCCGCGCACCACACAGGAAATTGGATCCGCGCAACACAGAAATAGGATCCACGAAACTCTCCCACACCCGAAAAGGGATCCAATTGGATCCATTGATGTTCTCATATTTTTAGTCCAAGAGGAAAAACTTTCGGCCTGGGTATGTAGTAAGGCTTTGGGCAGCGCGCAGGCAGTCCCCAGAGATAGCCCCAGCTGGCCTCGGCCGGCCCCCCCGAGCAGCCCGGGGCGGTCTCGACACTCCGACCCTGGGGCGCGGAGCCTCCCCCGGGGGCGCGGAGCCGAAGGCGGCGAGACCGCCCCGGACCGCTTCGGGGGGGCCCGTGGAGGCCTCGGGGCTGTCTGTGCGCAGCCCGAGGCCTCACTGCCCCGTGGGCTGCCGGCCTCCGCCTGCCCAGGCCCTGCACCTGCGCGCCGCCAACTACAGCAGGCTGTTCGACGCGGCCACGGGCTTCCTCCGAGCGCGCAGCCCGAACGGCAGCTTCTTGTCCGACCCTCACTGGGAGACGACTGCGCGGACGGTCGCGCGCAGGTTGCCCGCGCAAGGTCGCGCGTCAGCGCCCTCGTTTCCGGTGCAGCGTGCCGCGCCCAATCGGCCCGCCACCGCGCAGGGTCGCCATGTCGTCGTGCGTGGGGCCCGTTTCTTTTTTTGGCGCTCAGCGGGGGGTGCTGTCTGCCGACCCCCTGGAGTGGGCCCATTTGCGTCGACACCCCGCGCGAGAGATCGTCGAGGGCTGCGATGGGCTCCCCCCGGGCTTCTCCTGAGCAGCACGGCTGTGCCCAGCGTGCTCGCCTACAGGGTGTGCCCAAGGGCCCGATCTTCTCTTCACGGAGCCCTCCGCGCCTCCTCGGAAGGCCGCTCGGCATGCCCCCCCCCACCCCCTGTGACCCCCGACGTCGTGCTTTTGCTCGTGGCGTCGGCCCCCAGAGGTCTGGCTGCACCCCTTTCCCCGGGACGGGCTCTTCATCTCGAGTAGCTCCTTGACGGCCCCGAGGCCTGGCAAGGGCCCCGGGGGCCCGAAGCCAGCCAAAAACCTCCCGTCGTGAGGCTCTCACGACCCGAGAGGGGTCTGGGCATCCTCTGCTCGCCGCAACCAGGAGAAGCAGGGGCAGTACGCTTGGGGCAGCCCGTACGTGGAGGCTGGTCCGTGGCAGTACCGCTTCAACGTGCCCTGGGACCCCGAGGGCTTGGCGGCCATGTTCCGGGAGGCCGGGATCCATGGCGATCCGACCGATCCGATGTGATGCCGATTCTGGCCAGCCCCGATCCGATGCAGCTCCGATGCGGTCGGCACTGTGCTGCGAGCGTGCCGTTCCGCAGGCTCTGGCCCACCATGCCTCGGCGCGACCCGCTATCCACTTCTGATGGGCCTGTTTTCCACCACCACTACCATGAGTTGGGGGGGGAGGAGGAGGAGGAGGAGGAGGAGGAGGAGGAGG